GCTTCAGGGCCTCCTTGGCTTCCTGGAAAGATGAACCTGGGTGCCCCTTATCTCCTGGCACCACTGGCAGCGTTCTGATGTCTCCTCGCCCCACCAGACCTGCTCCCGGAGTTTACAACTCTGGTGACTCGGCAAAATGCAGCTGAAGCCCATTGGACTGTGCCAAACTCTTAAGTCAAACACAGCCCCTCTTTCTCCATAGCTCTCTATTTGGGGAGTGCCCAGAAAGCCCAGCACCCTGATATCAAACTGGTATACCGATCAGATTCATAGGTCCAACAGGTCTCGCCTGCTAGGGAACTCCTACTTATCTTTCACAACTGTGTCCAGGCTCTGCCTCCTCCTGCAGACAGCCTTTTAGTCCGCTCTCTACTGAGGAGGCCACAGGCTTCCTGAGGAGAAGGCTGACCGTGCTGACTTTATCTCTGTTCTCCCTGCACCCAGTATAGGACCTGGCACATAGCAGGTATTAATAAATACTCTATGAACCCTTGAAATCAAACCTTTGTGATTAGATTAGATTAGTGTGTTTCTCTGCAAAAGATATTGTCAGAACAAAGGCCTTTCTAGAAGGAGGACACTAACAACTGGGTTTATAAATACCTTTTACAAAGGAGGTATACTCAAATCTACAGAAAAACGAGTTTAGAGATTCAGTGGAACAGAAAGTTGATCAAGCCCAGCCCAGAGCGTGCCACACTTCTCTAGCCTCACACAACACTCCACACTTTTCAGCTCTGTCCCCTAACCCTGTGATCCCATAACACTCCAATAAGATGTTGCTTCACTCTACCCAGGGAAGGAATTTAATAGCAGCCAAAATGGGGAAAGGCAGCAGCAGCATGGACACATGTGTCAAGGATCAGGCGAGGACATCTGATAAGTTAGGCTACTCCATTGCAGGCCCTAAGCCCTGCAGCCAGAGCAGGCCACCAAACATCCCAGGGACTAAGGACTTGTCCACAAAATCATCTGCTCTAGCCACTTTCCAGAGATGCCGTGAAGATCAAACTATACAACACAGGAAAGCTACACAATGTAGCTTGGGTTAACACTTGGGTCATGCACTAACCTAGGAACAGAAATATACCTCCAAAGTCAACGGCAAAGAGGAAACAAGCCAGTCAACATCTGCCTGTCCCTATAACTGCCCTTGGCCTCCTCCAAACCACACCTGGCCCATGCCAACATCTGCCTGCATCCCAGCCATGAGAATCAGGGATTCCATAGAGACCATGGGGGCCATTCATATGCTTACTACCTGACAGTGGTCAACTGAAGCACACCACCATAAGCATACATGAACTGGGAACTTTTTAAAACTGAGGTTTCAACAAGCTCAATTGCTACCTTTACCAAATGTAAAATGCTGGGAATAAATGCCAACCTTTCTTTAGACTTGCAGGCAACACCTACAATAAAGCACTATAACATGACACTGGGCCTTTTCCAGCAAGATCCACTTAAAACTGAAATGTCAAAAAACAACTAAAGGAATCCAGGTCTCTAAGTTAAACATTCTCCTTCTCAAAAGTTGTGACCTCCTCGCACCAGCTCAGCTGCTATCTGTCATAAGGAATACAGAGAAAACAATTCATTTTCCTCCTTGCAAGCTTAAGAAATGCCTCTCAGTTTCTTTGGCAATAATATGAGGTCCCACCCCAACATTTTAGTTGACACTATTTTTGAGGTGTTTACGAGGCCATTCTTATTCACACTTAGTTCAAGAACATTATATATATGTGTTTCTATCAGGCCAGGCATGTAATCCCAGCATGCTGGGAGGCCGAGATGGGAGGATTGCTTGAGGCCAGGAGTTTGAGACCAGCCTAGGCAACATAGAGAGATCCCATGCCTAAAAAAAAAAATTTTTTTTAATTAACTAGGTGGCTGGCATGTTCCCATAGTCCTACCAACTTGGGAGGCTGAGAGGGAAGGATCACTTGAGTCCAGGAGTTCAAGGCTGCAGTGAGCTATGATCATGCCACTGCACTCCAGCCTGGGCAACAGAGCAAGACCCTATCTCTAAGAATAAATGAATAGATAAATGTGCTTCTATCACACGGTGGAAGGGAAAAATAAGAACTTTAAAGCCCTCCCTCCAATAAATAGAAGTTTCCTATCCATAAATACACTAGATGGGGATAAAGTGAAAGATGCACTAGCTTTCCATGATCAGAATTACAGAATCATAGAATTCTAGGGTTAAGGAAGCTTAGATGCTGGCCTAGCTCCCCACAGTACAGATGAGGAGACTGAAGCCCCAAGACCACAGAGCCCTACCTGGCAGAGAAATTACAATGTCACTGAGGAAGCTGGTAAGGTTCTGACTCTGGCAGTCTTGCCCCCAGCATAGTATGTTGGCCAGGCATTTTACGTGCACCACAAGGGGGACAGTTCCTAGGAGAGAGGAAGTACTCTGAATGTTCAGGAACACACACTCAGGGTTGGCACGAAGGTCACTGGTGGGGTTGGCAAACTTCCCACACCAAACCTAAGGTCTGATGAGGAAAGCCTTTCCAAGGCAGCTGCAATCATGTTATTTCATAACTTAAACACCTGCTTTACCACAATCACTGGAAAAAGCGAAGACTGGAAGAAGAAGAGAAAGAAAAATGAAAAATCTCCCCTATGATTTCCTGTGCCTGCTTAGATCACTCTAAAATAGGGAGTCTCCCTAATGCTGACTTTAATAAGGACCTTCCTAAAGCTGGTCCAACTAGTGTTCAAGTCCCTGGACTGAAAAACAAGTTTATGAGCCGTAAGGTCACCTGATTCTAACCATGAGTATTCTGTTTACCCTGAGATGACAGACCAGTGGCCACCACAGCTTTGATGAATGCTGCAAAGACTCTACTATCCCTTTGAAGCCTACTGGGGCCTCTACATGACTAAATGCCATAAAAGAACCTTGAACGCAACAACAGTGTTAAATGAGGGAAGTAACAAACACCACATGCTAGTGGGGGCAACCCCATTCCTGATGCTGATTTTTTGACATAAACTTGTTACTTGTTTCCCTGATCTGTAAGATATCTAATTACATCATCACTAAAAACAAAGTCTTCTGCTTTACCCCCAATGTACCTACTTCCCATCATGTCCTGCTGCTTAGACCAGACTATGCCCATAGTCAGGAAAGAGAGGCAGCCCAGACCCACGTGGCTCAGCAGCTCACACCAGTCACAAATGTCAGCCAGGAGACCTCAAACTCTGACCACAGCTCAGTGTTGGGGGAAAGAGAGTGGTAATGAGGGGCTTACCCATCTCTTCCTTTGCTGACAATCTTCACCTCAAAGTAATAAATGCCACAGGCAGCAGGTATGGGGTGGGTGGCACGCACTGAGGCTGCATCTTTGTGATTTTTGCCATGACCTAATAGGAGAGGGCAAGAAAGAAATTTCAGCAGAAGAAATGCAAATGGAAGCCTCATTCTTCTCTGCTTTATGGCAATTTCACCCCTCCGCGGCCAGAGGAAGTCCTTACACAGTCCATGGAATAATTAGACAACTGAGTAAACACATAAACCTCCCCCCTTGGGCTCACCTCCTCCTGAGAATAGCAGCCCTGTCTGAGACACTGTCCTCATACAAACAAAATAAGGGTATAGGCAATAAGAGTGCATGTGAGAGATACCGAGTGCTGCTAGTAGTCTCTCCAGAATCCAGGCAGCCCACCTGGGAGACCAGGGAAAGGAGGAGGCAGACCTGGAAAACTTCCCCACCCAACTCTAGCACACAATCCCAGGTCCAGTTGGGATGCCTGGCAGGCGGGCAAACCCATGAGCATTAGGCTAATGGTGGAGATGTGATCACACTTTTTTTCAGACACTCCCCAACTAAGCAGTGGTGAAGGGCTCAGATGGAGTTGGAGCCAGCCCAGGACAAGTAGGAAGGCCCTGGAGTGGAAAGTCTATTCCAGCACTGGGTTTGGACACCTGTTGCAGTTCTCCTGACATCAGGTGTCTCAGAGCAGAGCAGAACAGGCAGTAACCCTTGGCCTGGTCATCCCCACCACCCTGGACACCCCGCAAGGGCCAAGGCCTAACTCGGAGCATCTAGGCAGGGAAAGGGACGTGATGGGCCAGGGGCCGGGCAGCACGGCCGCCCTGCAGACGTTCTGGCCTTGTCCCCCCGTGGCCAGACGGGCCGATACCTTTGTAGTGGACGCGGAGGTTGCCCTGGGAGAGGCCGATGTAGTTGTACTTGTCCTTGGGGCTCCAGGAGCGCGGCAGCGGCGTCTCTTGCTGGTTGACCGCGGGGTACAGGCGCTGCAGGCGCCGGCTCAGCTCCTGCTCCCCTGGGGACGGCAGCCCGCCCCCAGCGCCCCCGCCAGAGGAGTCTCCCGCCTGCGGGCTCCCAGCTCCCGGGTCCGCCGTCGCTGCCGCCATCTTGGAGGGAGCTGCTATTGTGTCACTGGGGGCGGGGAGGAGCGGGACCAGATCCGCCCCGCTCAGCCAATGGCCCGCGAGCCTCCCGGGGCCGCAGGGAAACCGAGTCCGAGTCCGGCACCTCTCTTTGGACACTGCCACACCCCGCCACATTTCGAACTTCATATCCCACAATGCAAAGGTCTCCAGAGGCGGCCCAACTGAGGTTGGTAGGGAACCTTGGGAGATGTAGTACAAACCTGCTCAGCCGCAAGCCTGTCTAATCGAAGCTTCGAGACACCGACAACTACAATTCCCGCCGGCAAAGCGGCTCCGGCCCCCTGCTCACCTCCCTCGCCCATGGCCTCTGTTTATCCCCCTGCCTCCGTTCTGGTAGCTAGGGTCAAATCCGCTGTAGTGACTGACTTTCAGGGCACCTCGCACCCGGGTCCGAGTCCATCTTTGCTACCTGGCTCTCCCCCCAGGCCTGGGGCGCTGGGCTCGGGGCGGGGCATATCCCTGACCCCGCCCTCAACGCGGGGCCGCTGGGGCCTGGTCGCCATGGCGACGGACTGTACACTATCACGGCTTCCCTGGCGGCGGGTGCTGACTGCCCGCCTGCCCGAGGGTCATGGCCTCCCAGCAGTCGCGGTGCTACAGCGTCTTGTCCGTGCCGAGGTAGGCGCTGGCTGGGCTGAGGGTGGAGAGGAGGGCTTGAGTACTTCCAGAGAGGGAGATGGTACCTGATCCGGACCTCTGCACCTCCCGCTGGGCCTCTGTCCATTGGTCTGGGGCTCTAGCCCCACAGAATCAGTGGTGCAGAAACAGTTAGAATCCGGGATGACTTAGCTCAGTAAAGACGTTACGTGCTGATAAAAGGGCAGGCATGCTTTATCGTTAGTAACAGCTAGCTTGTATTGAACATATTATGTGCCAAATGCTTTATATACATTTAACCTTCACAACAATTCTATGAGGCAGTAACATTACCATTTTTCAAATGAAGAAATACTTTAGAAGCCTCCAGATCATGTATTTTACTGGTGGAGTTAACCAGTATTTAACCAGTATTTAACTGGTGGAGTTAAAGTGTGAATCTATCTGTGTCACACCGCTGAACTTGAGCCCTTAGCCACAGGGATAAACTACCTCTTCCCCCAAGGGTTGGATTTATGACCAAGACTCTTATCGAATTGCTGGCTGACTCTAAGCAGCCCAGACACATCCCACGGCCTCCAGGTAGCTCCTGCCTGTATTCAGATGTGCAACCTCTGGATACTGCAAAATATGACAACAAGTTTCATTGGCCAGGAAAGCCACATATATGGGTTAAAACAAAAATTTTGGCCAGGCGTGGTGGCACATGCCTGTAATCCTAGGACCCTGGGAGGCCGAGGCAGGAGAATCACTTGAACTCAGGAGTTCAAGACCAGCCTGAGCGAGAGCGAGACCCTGTCTCTACAAAAAATTAGTATTACAGCTCTTTTAGAATTTGTCTAGCAGGTTTTCCAGTCCTCATTGGAAGACCCAAAAAAAGAAAAAAATAATAAAAAATAGAAAATATTAGCCAGGCTTGGAGGCTCATGCCTGTAGTTCCAACTACTGGGGAGGCTGAGGCAGGAGGATCACTTGAGCCCAGGAATTTGAGGTTGGAGTGAGCTATAATGATGCCACTGCATTCTACCCAGAGCAACAGAGTGAGACTGTCTCAAAAAAAATTTTTTTTTTCGCTAAATACCTTTCTAGCTTTGGGACCTCAGAGAAGGCCCTTATTAAAGTTCCAGGCCTCAGCTTCTATATCTCAAACATGGGAATGATCATCCCACCTCACAAACATTGTTGAGAACATTTAAGCAGAATATGTGAAGCTCTTACCACAGCTCTCGTATATAATAGGCATTCAGTAAGTCTTCAATGAATATAGTTTCCCCACCCTTCTACTCGTTCCCAATGCAAAAAACCTGATCTCACCTAAACTGCAATCCTTCAGGGTCTGCTGCCTTGACAAGGAAGGCCTAAAAAATTCCCCTAGAACAGGAAATACCAATTTGATTATTTTATCCAGAGCTAAAATTAGTCTACAAGAATCAAGCAGCAGGCTTGGAAAAGAGAATTGCTAACCAACACAGGAATAACTTAGTAAACTGCAGTCCTCTATGAAAGGAATATGAAACAGACTCAGAAAGAGAATCTTCATCCATTTTAAGAAGGAAGCACAAGGTAATTGCTGAAGCTGAATTTGGTGGCAGTACAAATCACAGTCTTCTTTATTCACCAGTATTTACTGATATATACATTGAGGCAGGCTCACTGTTTCCCCTAGAGATAGTGTGGGTGTCCTCCTCCTGCTCCCCTTAGAGCAGGGCCAGAATGATGGATAAGCCAGACCTTAGCACTGTAGAACATGTTAGCAGGACTCTCCACAGGGGACCTCGAATTGTGCATTTCTCTGGGGCAGGTTTATCCTCCCTATTGGCTTTCCTTTTACCCTCACACTCCTGGCACAGTTGGTTGGTGGATGGAATTCAGCAGCTTGAGTTCACTCGATACCAGATACACCCCTGACAAACCCACTACCTGCCATCAGTTTTCTCCACCTTTGAGCTAGAAATATAAATATTTTCCATTCTCCTCTGAGGGTTGGTATAAAACATTTAACCTAACAACAAAGAAGCATCTTAAGCTTTTTAGATACGTTTATAGGCTATAGCAGGTGTTTTGTTTGTTTTAAGTCTGTTTTTTACTATTGCCTCCTTTGATACTCAAAACTAACAAGACTAACATCTATTACCTATTGAACTTTTCCGTTTGGCAACTTCTCAGAATTTGTAGAATTCCCCACAGTTTTTGTGCTTACCTTGCCTTTTGTGGTGGTTCCAGCATAAGCAAGAAGAACAGAGTGTGGAAAATTTATTGGCTGTGATAGGAAGGTATTGACTTAATTGAGCAAGCAGGTGGGGTTGATCTGCTGTATCTTGTTGGTCTCCAAAACTGTCTCAAACCCATGCCCATCTGGGCAGGCACCCGTCCTTCGCCACACTGTTTATTCCATGGGTTTTGCTGACACTTGTCCAATCTTGAGAGACAATAGAGGACTAGGGTTTGGGGTGTTACTGCTCCACGGAGTAGAACAGGGTTTCCCTACAGGACAGGGTTTCCCAATGGGGTTCATGCTAATACTGTCAACTTCCCTGGAGTTTGGGTAGTCCTAGTCCCACCTTTATGGGCAGAGACACTGAGGTTAGATGTGTTAAACGGCATGCCCAAGGCTACCAGCTAGCAAGGGAAGTGAATACATGGGTCTATCTGGCAACATAAATCACACCCCCACCACTCCATATGTGGCTGGAATTACTTCTTCCTTTTGTTCCACCAGGGCCTGCCGGCCCACAGTAGTCCTCCCCTTTGACCCCCAAATGCCTTCCTAGCTTGAGCAAAGATGACTATTCCAAGAGGCTTGAATAGTAGAGACTTCCTTTGTCCACTTTTGTCTCATATTGCTGTCATAATTAACATCTGTGAAGCTCATTTATTTTGTATATCTCTTTCACTCTTATTTAAATGTCACAATAACTAAGTCAAGATAGGCAATACAAGAATTGTCTCCATTCCTTTGTGAGGAAACTAGGCTGAGAGAGATCAAATGACTTGCCCAAAGGCAGACCTGTTGGAACCCCAGATGTCAGCTTCAGGCCCTATCAGCCAGTAAGAAAAGGATCAAGACTTACACTCCAGCTCCTGGACCGGAGACCCTGTGCTTCTTGTCCTATAGCACCTGCCTTTGGTATTACGCCCCCAGAGTGTACCAGAGTTGTCTACATAAAACCACCATCCCAGCCACAGCTCAACACTGTGAATGGAAGTATAGACCCACAGGGTTCTCTGGATTAATGGTGAGGGTGTCCCACTACTGCAGGAGTGGGTGAGACTCTGGCAAGGAGTTTTCTAGGAATGTAGGAAAATGGCTTGGGCCCCAGCACCAGGGGCTTGCTTGGCAACATCTCTGGGAATCTGGAGGCAGAGCTGGGAAGACCCAGAGCCTGGCTCTGTGGGGAAAGGAGGCCATAACTTGTGGATCTGGGAAGGGTATAGGGACTTTCCCCGCTCCAGACTCTGTCACCCACCATTAGCTTCTCTTTCTTTCTTTTTTTTTTTTGAGACAGGGTCTCACTCTGTTGCCCAGGCTAGAGTGCCATGGTGTCAGCCTAGCTCACAGCAACCTCAGACTCCTGGGCTCAAGCGATTTCTGCCTCAGCCTCCCGAGTAGCTGGGACAGGCATGCGCTACCATGCCCAGCTAATTTTTCTATTTTTAGTAGAGACGGAGGTCTCACTCTTGCTCAGGCTGGTCTCGAACTCCTGACCTCAAGCAATCCTTCCACCTTGGCTTCCTGGAGTGCTAGGATTACAGTCGTGAGCCACCACACCCGGCCTCATTAGCTTCTCTTTCTATGTGTAGTTCACGGACTCGGCCTTCAGGAGTGACCATAGATGACGCCTTTCTCCTAGAAGCCAAGAACACCCAGAAACGCAAGCTTTCTCAGAAACGGAATACTCTGGTTAGTGGATAATGCCGTTTTGGAACCCCAATGTCAGGCCTCGGGCCCTATCTCCCTGCCTGCAACCCCAGAGCACCACTCACCTGAAACATGCCACCAGAGCAGCAGCTTCTCAGTCAGGGGAGTGTGGCTCACAGAGGCCAGGCCCACCAGGCTTTGGGAGGAGGGCGGGCACTCTCTCTGCTCCTCGTTTGAAAATGCTTCCCAGTCCTCCCTAGGCAAAGAGACTCAGCCTCTGCCTACAGACACCCCTCCCCTGCAGCTCAGGTCCACTCAGTCAAATGAGGAGTGGACCTCATTTCTTCAACCCAGCTGCCATGTGCCAGGCACTGTGCTAGGTGCTAGGATCGCCACACCAGATCTACCAAGGTCCTTCAGGACTGTGACTATATCTTTTTGTCTTTATGGCTCTAGTGTCCGATACTTGGGTGGCTAGCATAGGTTGAAAGCTCCCTAAATGCTTATGAGATGTGTGAAGGCAGGAGGAAAGGGATGTTTCTCCATTGTGTTGTTGGCTCTGGGTCTCTCCCTCATTCCTGTTCTTTAAAGTTTTTATATGAAATGAATGTTGTCTTATTAAGTACT